CTGCCGATGGTCAGCGGAGCCTTTCATAAATATATGGACAGAACGAAAATACCCAAAAAGTTATATTTGTAACCTGCAGATTTCCCTTCTGTCCAAAATAAGGACAGTTGGGGACCACTGAGCCAATGAAGTAACATTAGATGATCTGCTGGGAACATTGTGTCAAAAAAAATAGATTTCCTTTAGGATGAATGAGATAACCCCCATCATCCCATGACTGGCTTTCCTAGCAGAGGGGGAGAAGCTGATCTGAATCCCTGGAACTGACACCCTAAAAATGGTGCCCTACACCACCCTGTGCGATGAATTTTTTATTATCTTATTATTTATTTTTATTGTTATTACATTTTTGTATTATTTATATTTTATTTACTTCTTTTTTTATTACTATTTTTTTTAAATTATTATTCGATGAATAGTTTAGGTGCCTCCACACAAGTCTCCATTTCTTGAATTCTTGTACATGTGAGGAGGAGGCTCCTGGAGGCTGTGGGGACCCCATAAAGAATGAAAAGAACCTTTCAGAATCATTGGGGTGTCTGGGGGTCAGACGTGGGGAATTTCTTCATTATCCCGAAACTACATTTTATTTTATTTTTATTACAGAGGGCGAGAGCGCCGAGGCGGAAGAGAGCGAGAACTACAAAGAGTCGGAGGGGGGCGACAGCACAGAGGACGCCACACAGCCTCGCCCGTGGAACGGTCCAGGTACCTATCACAACCTCCACCAATACTATGTAAAGCCTTTCTGGTCATTGGCTGAGAAGCTCCGCCTCCTCACTTGTATGCAAATGATATTGTGCGGATATTAAAACATAATCCTAGTTATATGTAACTTATATGATGTTGTGTAGTTACTATGTACTCCCCGATGATCCCATGCGGAACTTTCTCTCAGTTTCCGATGGCGGTCTGACCGCGGGCGCCGGTTCTCATTTATCAGGTGAAGTTGGTGAATCTTCATTCACTTTCAGATGGAGGATGGAAACATTTCTCCAGCCAATCATGTCTCTGCGTCATCTCTCTGCGCTGTAGGCGTGTCTGCACCTGTAGCCGCGCATTTGCTGTCGGCGTGCGCCGCTTCTCCTGCAGCTGAACCCTTCATTGGATTGTAACGATCTGTGTTCTCATATGTTGTTACATGGTATACAGACCACAGGAACAGCCCCCAGAAGACCGATGTGTCGGCTGAGATTCTGGGAGGCGGGGTTTGTCTCAGGCTGGGAATAAATCATTGGCAGGCAGCCCCAACATAGATCCCACCTCCGCGGGTCCCAGCTGAAGCTCGGGGGCGGGCAGGAACCGGTACAAACCCGCTGTGTGTATTGGTTGTGAAGCCAGCTAAAGGCAGCCATCTTTACACTTTGATACGTGTTTATATAATGGAACTATTCTAGAATTTTCGGGGAATTTACTGCAACTGGAGCAGCTGCGCAGAGCAACCAATCGGCCCTCCAATGTCTTTTATCCTTGAACAGCCTTCCTAGGAACGCCCACTCCTCCAGGGTGACACACGCCCCTCAAGGCATTTTGATATTTGCATCCCAAGAGCCAGCCCACTGCTTGAATCAGGGAGAGGAGTGCTGAGGAAGGGTGCAGGTGCCCCTCCCTCCAGCCATCTTCCTGCATTGTATAGAGAAGCACAGAGAGCCAGTGATGACCTCTAAAATGAGGTATTTAATGAAAAAGGAAAGATTTTATATCATGTTGATGAAGGGGGTAGGGGGGGGGGAGGTAAAATATGAACTTCAGCTTTTAATAATGATATGCATACCGCAGATCATCCGCTCTTATATATTGTACAGACGTTGGCAGCCCTTGCTCTTCGGCGGAACATTTAATTGGATGGACTTTGTTCTCCATTGGGGGAAGTTTATTATATTATTGTTGATTTCTGACTTATGTCCCCGACTATCAGTATTAAAAAAAGGTCGGCTCCCGTAGCAGATCAGCGCGCGTTTCCATACGTGACCTCGCTGCGACTGGACGGGAGTGATGCAGCTGCACTGGAATGCTCTGGAATTTCTGCTAGATAGTAAAAACAGGAAGTGGACTGTCAGATAGGAAGTGAAGGGCACGTACTCTGCGAGATGGAACCCTGGGACGGGAGTCAGGCACGCCGCTATGTTTATGAGATTGGGGGGGGGGTGTTACATTGCCGGAGCCCATCTCAGAATGCCCGAGTAGGCCTCCTTGCTCTCTGCATTGTGCGTCATAAAACATTTCCTGTAAAATCCTTGTTTTCACCTTTGTTTCATCTCTCAGTGCTGCTGATCACCTGCAGCCTCTTCCCATCTACAAAAGATGGCTGCACGGCTTTTCTCAGGGCGGGTTTCCTGATGGTGACAACAGCGGATCACGTCTGTGTAATGTGTGATGAAACCGACACCTGTAGTCTCCATCCAAAGGCTGCGTGACAGGGTGACAACGTAGGAGCACAATTGGAAGGCATACATAGAGTGTTGTCACCCTGTCACAGGAAGTGCCCTACCGAGGACCTCCATGGCGTGATCACCAGGGATTATTTCTGGGTCATTTTTGTAGAAATGCGGTGCATACAGGCAGGAAGGGGGTGTGGGGGGGTGGGCAGGTTTATAAAACGAGTGGCGCGGTCGGACGCGGTGTTGTCACGCGGAACGTTCCATTGGATGTTTATGAATACGTTGTGACTCGGCTCCCAGTGAAGTTTATTCAGAGGAGCGATGCCAGCTCCGTGTTTTCCCGGCTCCGTGTAGAGCTGTTTATTTAGTCTGTAGGCTGTTAAACAATCGCTCCGTGTTGACTCTGGAAATGCTCAGACATGACGGGCGATGCCAACTCCGTGTGTTCCGGGGACGCTGGACCGCTGCCCGCTTATCAGGCTGAGCTCACACATGTGTTATGACATCATGTGTGAGACCTCTGAGCATGCCATCGTCACCCTGTCACCTGAATGTTCATATGCTCAATGGGGACTGCAGCTGCTTGTTCCATGATCCCGCGATGTCTGCCCACCTCCTCTGAGAATTCTGGAGGGAAGTTTAGTTTTGGGCAGGGTGTGGAAGGTTGTCTCTGTCCCCGTTCTCCCCACTTCCTGTAGCTGTGATCGGGAGTCTGGGTCTTGGAAGGCACCTCTCCAGCACAGGCACAAAGAATAATAAATCCATTGTCTGGTTCCTTTTGCTTCCTCTGTCCCCACTGGCAAGATTTCTCTTCATTTCCTGTCTTGGTGACACACCCTATGTGTTTTAAGAATGTGACCGGGTGTCAGCAGGATAGGAAGTGAAGGGGAAATGAGACAGGAAGTGTGAGTGAATCTCCCCGGAGACGCCAGCAATAAATAATAATTGGTAGAGGTTTACTCTCAAGACAAAGAAAAAATGGAGGCAGCATGACAATATGGCCGCCAGCCCGTGACGTGATCGGCCTCGCTGGGGAACAATCCGATTGTCAGGCTGAGGCCGGGCTCCCCTCTGGACTCCATTGATGACTAAACTGACACATGCAAAGTTCAGCAGATTAGCTAATCGCTTCTGTTGATTAATTGCTGATTGCTGATTGTTGTTGTTCTGGAGAGTTCCGGAGCTAAAAACATCCCAGCGAGATACACAAATAATCTCCTCCACACCCCAGAAAACAGGTACGATGATCGACCTACAGAGATAAGTCGCATAACCGCTCTGAGGATCTGCCCCTCCCACTGCCGATCACAGGATCTGCCCTTCCCCGTGCCGATCACAGGATCTGCCCTTCCACCTCCCGTCAGAGGATCTGCCCTTCCCACCTCCCATCGGAGGATCTGCCCTTCCCCATGCCAATCGGAGGATCTGCCCTTCCCCATGCCGATCGGAGGATCTGCCCTTCCCCATGCCGATCGGAGGATCTGCCCTTCCCCATGTTGATCGGAGGATCTGCCCTTCCCCATGTTGATCGGAGGATCTGCCCTTCCCCATGTTGATCAGAGGATCTGCCAGGATCTTCCCTTCTCTGGCCTTGAAGTCTATTGGCACCATCATCTTTCTTCTGCCCTTCGGACCATCCTGGGGACCCTCTGGGACACCCCCGCTGTCAGTACTCTCCCTCTAAAACTGGATCCTGCCTCTGTGGGGGTCCGGCGCTCTGCATTGATCTGCATGGGGACCTATGGAAGTTCCTGCTCCCCATCACATGAGTCCACGTCTTGCCGGGTCTCTCCTGTCCTCCTGAACTCTGGGAATTGAAGGTCTGTGATTGGTTGCTTTGGACACCGGCGGCTCTTAGTGTACGGGCCAAGCATTGACATCTCGGCTGAAGTGCCTCTTGTTCAGAGGGGGCCATTGTTGGCTTCCAGTTGGATTGGCGGATAAGTTACCACCCCCCCTTCCCCCCTCCATTGTCCGCCCGGCGCTCCCGCCTCCTCACACTGAGCCGCCGCTGCTGAATAATTCAGTCTCAGATCTCTATCTGGCTCCCGTAGTGTCCTCCTCCGAGTGCCGGATCCCCCCCGATGTTTGCACCGCACAGCTTGTAGAACACGGCCCGGAGTTCAGGAAACCTCGTCTTCGGTGACATCTGCGGCGAGGGAGACGGATTAAATGGCAGCCGCTGACTTTATGTTTTCGCTGGCGCTGGTCAGACCTGACTCTCTATGGAGATCAAAGTGGACCTGTCATCAACTTCCAGGTGTATATTACCTCTCACCGAGATCACAGCACTCCCCCCTGACAATGCCTTCATCTGATTTTCTCTCCAGAAGGACGGCGCCATCATCCAGGGTCACCATCTACTTCCTGGACTGAGATGCCGGCTCAGAGAGGACACAATCATGTAAATTGTGGTGTCTGTGCAGTTCTTGGCTGTGTTCACAAATGACACAGATCAGCCCCCTGCTGCAGCCCCCCGCCTTGTGACTGGATACAATGTTGCCGTTTATAATCATTGCACGTGATTAGAAATGAATGTAGATGATGGCGGGTGCGTGTTGGTGTGAATGAGGCTTAAAACCTAAGAGGAAGCGGCATTGTAGATGAGGTGGGGGGGTCCGCGGTTTTGTCATTCAGTCGCCTCTTTGGCGGGATCGCGTCTGGGAATATGAGAGACGGGAGCAGGAATGGCTCATTTACCACCCAGCTGGGGTCCTTCACTGTATCGTACATGACTATTGGAGCCCGGGACAGGCTGGCAGTGCCAAGCTTTGTGCCAGCTCCAGGACTGAAGGCCGCTGTTCTCCGCTGGGCACAGGAAAGAAGGGGGAGGAGGGGGAGCACCGCCGGCCAAAACCAACCTGGATTCAGCGCCAACTCTATTTCAGTTCCTGGGCTGAGTGCGGGCCGGGAAGGGGGATAAGTCGCACTCTGTGATGGACGTAGGCGGGTCAGACTGGCATCCAAGCCGCGCCTGTAAGGAAAATAAAGAGAATTGCGCCAGGATTCCGCGCCATCGTTTGGGAATATCCACGGCGTGGAATGTCGGCATTGTGCTTCAAGGGAAATGAATTCCCACACTGGAAGCGGGAAGAGCTGCTGGGGACACCAGTGACACTAAATAACAATCTCACTTCCTCTCCTTGCTGGCTTAGCCCGGCTTGTCTGCGATGTGCTGCACGGCATGGATTGGGATTTGGGGCAACACTGAAACAAACAAAATGCAGCAATGTAACACTTCTATTGTGTTATTACTAATGAGTATTAATGGCCACAGCGCGATATGAAGGCGATTTTTATCCACGCCATCCGATCCATTGCAGCTTG